GGGAGGGGGGCAGGGAGAGGGTTTTTTCCAAAATTCTTGGGTCATTTAGACAACGAGTTTTCTTTGTCCTTGTTTTCTGTTTGTTTGTTTTTTGCTTTTTTATTGTTTTGCTCTGAAGACGCAGTAATATTATGATTATTGCTATCTATTTATCCTTTTCAATATTGTCACTGTTATTGTCATTGCTATCATTATCATTTTCATAGTTACTGTTATTGTTATCGTTATGATTGCTGTTGCTGTTCGTGTTGTGAATGTTATCATCATAACTTTTCTTATCATCATCATTATCATTATTATTTTGATTTTGATTATGATGATTATGATTATCATTATTAGTATTATCATCATCATCATTTTTGTTATTATAATCATTATTATTATCATTATTATTATTATTATTATTATTATTATTATTATTATTGTTATTATTATTATTTTTATTATCATTCTTATTATTATCATTATCATGATCATTATCATGACCATTATAATTATCATAATCATCATTATTATCGTTATTATTATTATTATTATTATTATTATTATTGTTATTATTATTATTATTATTATTACTATTATTATTATTATTATTATTATTATTATTATTATTATTACTATTATTTTATTATTATTATTATTATTATTACTATTATAATAATTATTGTATTATTATCATTACTATTATCATTATTACTAGTAATTACTATTATTATGATTATTATTAGTAGTGGTGTAATGACTATTATTAATATTGTTATCATCATGTTGATAATGATATAATGATAGGTATTGTTATTATCATCGTCATCATTATTATTAGTTATTATTATCATAATTATTATTATTTCTCTTATCATCATCATAACATTAGTTATTATTTTCATAATTATTATTATAACTCTTATCATTACCATTATTAGGCATTATCATAATCATTATCTTTTTTATTATTGCCGTCGTCAATTATAATTATTATCACTAAAATTAGTACGATTATTACAATCAGCATCATCATCATTATCATCAGGAACAGTACTATTAATGAGCAGCAGCAGAAGAGGTAGTAGTAGTGACAGAAATAAAAAATGATAAAAAAAGCGTGAGAGAACAAAAGACAAAGACATTAGAATAAAAGAGAGTGAGAGAAAGAAAGGAAAACAAATAGAATACGAAACTAAGAGAATAAACAAAAGTGAGAAAAGTAAAAAAAAAAAGGCGAAAATAATAAAATAAACAAGAGTGAGAGAGAGAGAAAGAAAGAAAATATAAAAGAAAAAACACGAGAGGAAGGGGGAGAGGTAGGAGGGGAAGAGGTCATGGCAACACGTGCAATGTCAGCTGCCCCGGCAATAATGGTGGACAATTCCCTCTCAGAATGAATAAACTCGAGCAATCTCGCGAATGGAAGGGAGAGGGAGGGGGAAGGAGGAGAAGAGGGGAAGGAAAAGGAAGAGGGAGAAAAAGAGAGGGAGGTAGGGGGCGAAAGAGAGTAAGAGAGAGTGGGTGAGTGAATGAGTGAGTGAGTGAGTGAATGGAAGAATGAATGAATGTATGAATGAATGAATGAATGAATGAGAAACAAAAACAAAGAGAAAGAAAAATAAATAGAAAGAAAAAGGAGAAAGAGAAAGAGAGAGAGAAAAAAAAGAGAGAGGCAGAGTCAGTGAGAGTTACAAAGAGAAACAGAGAGGGAGAGAGAACATGACGCAACTCCTATTCATTCTCCAACGAATTCTCATGGCTGGTTCATCCGCCAAATGAATTACAGTGAAGAATCCGACATGCCTTTGCCTTGTACACAGCCGCTGGACGTCAAAAAGGGGCAACAGCACCACAATTCCATTTCCCGAAAACGTGTCAAGTTATTCGTCTGTTGGGGACAACACGTCAGCCCCTTCACACCCCCCCTACCTCCACCCCACCCCCCCAACGTCCCTTCTTCTTGCACCCCCCCCCCCCTGACGTCGCTCCCCCCCCCTCTCCCAGTCTTTCCCTCCCCCTGACGTCGCTCCCCCCCCCTCTCCCAGTCTTTCCCTCCCCCCTGACGTCCCCTTTCCCCTTTCCCCTCTTCCCCTTCCTCTACCATTTTCCCCCTTTCCCTGCTTCTCTTTCTCTTAGGTTTATCGCCTTCCTTAACCATTTCTTCCCTTCTGTTCGCATTTCTCTTCCGTTTTCCCCTTCGCCTAGATATTGTAATGATGCAAAACCGAACTAAAAGTGTTGCTGCATGAAGACCTTGGCCTAGTCGTCTGTCGAAGAAGATAGAAAAAGTGACAGACGGAGAAAAAAGAGGAAGAGGAGGAGGAAGAAGAAGAGGAGGAGGAGGAGGAGGAGGAGGAGGAGGAGGAGGAGGAGGAGGAGGAGGAGGAGGAGGAGGAGGAGAAGGAGGAGGAGCAGCAGCAGGAGGAGAAAGAGGAGGAAGAGGAGGAAGAGGAGGAGAAGGAGGAGGGGCAGGAGAAGAAGAACAGAGAGAGAGAGAGACGGTAAAGAAGAATGAGAAGAAGAAAAGAAGGAAAAGAAGAGAAAGAAGAAGGGGGAGAAGAAGAAGAAAAAAGAAGCAGAAGAGAAAAAAGAAATACAGACCAAGTAGTAGGAAGAGGAAGAGAGAGGGAGAAGGAGAAGAAGACCACGACCACGACCACGGCGGCGACACCTACAACGACCTCCTCGTCCACTGATTAGCGGCCGCTCTGTATGCAAAGCAGATAATGGACTTCATCTACATCTCCGGCGTTGCAAGAACCCGCGAAGTTCCTCGCGCATACCAAGCCCCGGGGGAGGAAGGGGAAGAGGAGGAAGAGGAAGAGGAAGGGGAAGGAGGAAGGAGGAAGAAGCGGAGGAGAAAGAAAGAGGAAGGAGAAGATCAAGGAGGAAGAAACTGAGGAGAAAGAAAGAGAGGGGAAGAAGGACAGGGAGAAGGAAAAAGACAACGGGAAACAGAAGGAAAGGATGTCGAAGGAGAATAAAAATAAGAAAGGGAGAAGAAGAAGGAGAAAAGGAGTGAGATAAGGCTGAGGACAAACGGAGGGCGTCCATCAGGCGGGCGGGCGAGGGATGGGGTTCCTCAGCCCATTGAAATGCATCTCGCCGCACAGCCTCGCGGGCCGCATCTCGAGGAATTCCTAGCGGCGTCAGCGCGCATACATTACGGGGGGGGGGGGGGGGGGGGGGGGGGGGGGGGGGGGGGGAGAGAGAGAGAGAGAGAGAGAGAGAGAGAGAGAGAGAGAGAGAGAGAGAGAGAGAGAGAGAGAGAGAGAGAGAGAGAGAGAGAGAGAGAGAGAGAGAGAGAGAGAGAGAGAGAGAAAAGCGAGTAGTGAGGCAATTGCAAGCTGCAATCTGTAGAAACTAATCTCAACGTCTCCTTCAGCTATATACGTAACTCCAAGATGCAAATCCTCCCGAGAGAGAGAGAGAGAGAGAGAGAGAGAGAGAGAGAGAGAGAGAGAGAGAGAGAGAGAGAGAGAGAGAGAGAGAGAGAGAGAGAGAGAGAGGGGTGATATATCCCCTTTCGTCTGGGAGGCGAATAATTCAAGCAGAGGAAGCTTAAGCACGGATTTAGAACGTGCCCAGTGCTAATGCCAGTACCGGACGGGGATTATTAATGCCGCACAGATCACCCGAAGTCGTTAGTCTTGTTCAGATCTTCAATCGAATTCAACGTGGAAGTCAATACGTTATTCATCGCGTGTGGCTCGTTATACACTTCATCACACACGAGGCACGTACAGTTCGTGCTTTCCATTGATACATTTAAATGCAAACTGGCGTGTTTGCAAAGACACACTTTCTTCTAGGCAGGCATACACACTGCGCGAAGCACGGTAATGTACATTACTGGCATTTTTGAGAGCACTGGAATTTAAGGCAAGGACGGAGTGTAAAAGTTAAATTAGAATTCACTTCTTTCGTCTTGTGTTTATTCAACCCTGGACTACTTTCCCGATGGCAACCTGTGGCGTGTTTTATGAAGATTTATAAAGATGAATATTCAGGCGAGAAAACTATGCCTGGAAAAGTCTGCATTATCAAAACAGATACTGATCAAAGGAGTATATCTTATAGAGTTAATGATTTAGTTAACGAAGTTATGAACATTACAAAATCAATTGT